GCTTTGTAGTACAACAAGGCAAAGACAGGAGATGTCTAAAAAAGGCCAGGATGACAGGGAGCAGGAAGCTAAGCTGTAGCCAGGCTGGGCCCAGAGCAGAGAAGGAACCCAGAGTGAGGAAGTCCTCCCAAACCACATACACACATGACACTTCCTCCCAGGGCCCCACAGAGCAGCAGAGCCCTGTTCTGTTCTGCCTTCTCCAAGGGTGCGGTCAGGCTGCCCATTTCAGAAACCACCAGCGGTGCTCTCTGCAAGTGGGAAGACACCGCTCTCCTGGACCAGAAGGGATTCCCACTGCAGAACGGATTGGGGAAATTTTGACTATATTCCTTCATGGAGGCCTTTGCCAGCCAGCCCTGAGTGGGTTGGAGTAGAGGCAGGGGCATCCCTGTCTCCTCAGGCACCCTCCTTGGACCTCAGACTTATTCCTGAATCTCCATTTTTAATCCTGGATATGAGACAAGGATCAAAACTGAGTAGACTCCACCAGGCCAGTGGCAGCTTTTTTCCATCCTGTCTCAGATATTGTTTCACTATAGCCCGAGAATTGCTGGTGACACATTAAAATAGAAAACCCCACTGTCCAGAAATGGGTGTGGTGTTGCCCCTAACCCCAAAGACAAGAGGCCTGACTTGTGACTCAAGGCAAGCAGGGGTGAGGATGAGGGTAGGGAGGAGCAGGGTGAATGGGAGGCAGTAGCCAAGAAAATTATTAAATTGTTCCATCCCTGCTGAATCACTGGGGACCTGCTAAATCCGTTTTTGATTTAAGAGCGATCGTGTGATGCCTAAATGCCCAGGTACCGCCTCTTAGACAAGGAGCTTCCTCCCTTCACATGCTAGGAAAGGCAGGTGTCCCTCCCTTGACAGCGGGGGTAGATGCTTACTAGAGCACTGTGCCCAGCTTGCTGCTCAGCAACCTTAGGGAACTAGTGTTTCCTGCGCTCACTATGGAATGATCCAGGGTGCCTTCACAGTGGAGGATGTGCAGGGGCATCTGGGAAGGAGGAGGGATGGGCACTGTGCAGGGGAGGAATGTAGATGGCCACAGCAAGTGTGATGAGCCAGAGCACAGGGAAGGGCGACATGGGACCATGCTGTGCTGCGAAGAACCTTAGAACTGAGTAGGGGAACCGAGTCTTGGAGGTACTGAGAAATCCCCTTCCCTGGCTTTGAGCTGACGTTGCCTTCCCCGGTTATCTCATGAGGAGGATGGCTCCAGACTGGCACCTCTGGCTCCGAACTCCTGAGAGGAGTCCAGAGAGCTATGGCTAACAAGTCCTGGATGAAAACCGGGAGAAGGGTATTAGCAGGTGACCCACTGCGGGGAAGTTTTCAGACAAAGCTGGGAGCCCCATTTGGTAGGCCAGAAGGGGAAAGGGGCCCACTTTCCTCAGGCCTAGGAGAGACTTTCCTCTCTTCCCCTCCTGTTTCAGTGTTCTTGCTTCCAACTCAGGAAAGCTGGAGCAAGCCTAGAAAATGCATTCAAGCTGTTGGTGAGCTTATGGTGACTGTGTGCTGCCAAGTCCTCTCCTGTCCCCTACTCTCTTCCTGGTGGACCTTCTGAGGGGGAATAAAGTCATTGCTCTCTCCTGCTGGCTTATAGAGAACATCTCTGCTGGCAAGAGGAGCAATCCTTTCCTTTCAGCTCCTCTGCCTGGCATGTCACAAAAGCTAGGCATTGAAGATGGACCACACCCAGGGACGTTTTTTTTTTTTTTTTCCATACGACCTAGTAATCCTGTCCGTAGCCTGCATCTGAGGCTCCGGTGGCCATCCTCTGAGGTGGAGATGCAAGTTCTGTGGATCTGTGAAGGAATAAGACAGCCCCAGATCATCCCATGAACAGCGGGCTCTGACTGGCGCCAGCTTCACTGGCCATGTCAGGAGTGGGACACATCTGGAAAAGCACTTGCTAGGACAAAACTTTGGCTGATGCCTGGGCCCCAGTGGCCTCAAGTCCTGCATGGATGGAGGGCGTATGCTTTATTTAGCCTTCCCGAGCCTGGGAGTCTATTCACAGGAAAGACATAAGCCAGTCCCAGGATTCTGGGACACCGTGAATGAGAAGCACACGGCACCAGGCCTTGAACCTAGGTTCCCAGGGCTGGGTTCTGGCTGCTCCCTGCTCCTCTGTGACCACTGCAATCCTCCCCCCCCCCCCCCCCCAGCTATGCATGGAAGCCGGAGCTGCTTTCACCAGCACCACTGTTTGAGGCTTGTAGCCCGCGGCCCTTGCCCTTTGTTCTGGGCCAGTGAACAGAGTAGAGTAACCTGTACCTCGGTGACCCTTCTTTGGGGGAGAGGTGGAACTTAGGCTCTGGGGTCAGAATTGAATGGTGGAGCATTCTAATGCCAGCATCCCTTCCCTTGGCACATCACTGAGGGTTACCCCAGCCTCAGCAAGAGACTGCCTACTTTTGGCCTGCCTCTCCTGGCCAGGCAGCGTGGACTGTGACAGACCAGTGAGGGAGAGGTTGAGGTATAGGCCTTTCTGTCTGACATCCAGCCAGGAGCCTTCCCACCTTTTCTTGCAAATAGTCCGTTCAGAATTGTAGTGGTCCCTTGACATGGTGGGAGGTAGTGACAGAATGCCTGCATTCTGATGGCATCCCCTATTGCTGACATCACCTTTGCCCAAAGAATGTAGCCATGTTCATTGGTTCAGCTGTTACTGGGTTTTCACAGAGTTTATGAGATGATGTGGAGGAAGGGAAGCCTCAAGAAGACAAGGGGCTGGTTTCTGTGGCCCATGGCTGTTCAGCGGTATCCAAAATGGTATTTGGGATGCTATCAGTGCTAATAAAATACCTGTGTTAGTGAATGTGTTAGTAGTTTCCAAGGACCAACACACACACACACACACACACCACATACTTCAGCCACAGTAGACCTGGTCTGCAGATACTACCATAGCCTCCTGGGACATACTTAGGTACAAAATGGCTCATATTTCCTCACTTGGTTCTGTTGTGCTGTTCTGCTGCCTGGCCACACCAGCTTCTGGAAAGTGCTCTTCCTACTGTTTTCCTAGAGTCTTCCTGACCGGGTCCCTTAGCCAGACAGCATAAGATCTTAGCCTCGCAGCCTGATCTTTGATTAGAGGCCCCTGGAACTGAAGAATGAGTTCCTTGAATGGCTACACCACTGTCAGGCCATAAGGGAACCTCTAAGAATAAAGGATGTGGTGGAGGTCCCGGGAGGTGGTCCATCGTACTAGCTGCCCCTCTAGAGGGTTAATAAACCTTTGATTACCTCTGGCTGCCAAGACTGCCTGGGCAGAGGGAACGAAGTGCCCTCTCTGCCACCGTTCTGCCCTGAGCCCCTCCCTCTTGGCCTTGTAAGAATTTAGGTGCATGGCAGTGAACGCATTCCCAACATCAAACATACCACAATCCCTGCAGGCCACATCCAGCACCAGGGATGCAGCTGGACACAGGTGGCCCTTGGGGGAGACAGTATCATGCTCTGTATGGTGGATCCCACTTTAGAAGGTGCTTGATCCACGTGTTTATCCTGCTCCACCTTGACCGAGGTCAGATTAGAAGATGTTCTTCTCTCTCAGTGGGCCTTGGTTTCCCAGGTCTAGTGGGTAAGAAGCCAATGATCCCGAGAAGGACTGAGGTGGGGAGAGGGTGGACCTGATCATCCTAGGCCCAGCCCTGTGGCCACAGAGAGTGCCCCACCCCTGCTGGGCTTGGTTCATCTCCCAGCACACTCACACAGTAGGTAAGTGACCAGTTCTCTGGTCCTTCTTTCCGGATTCTGGGGGTGTCCAGGGAGTAGGGTGGGTTCGGGGTCTGCAGCACCTCCTGCTGTTGGAGGTCTCTGACCTCCCTCTTCCTTCGTTTCTGTATCCTGACTCCGGTTCAGCCAAATGTCCCCTCTGCTCAGTTTGTGCCCTTCCTGTTTCTGAAGTATTGCGTTTTGTTCATGTTTTCTTTGTTGCTGGGGATTGAACCCTGTACCCAGGCAAGGAGACCACCCAGAGCTACGACCCTAGCTCTTCCTGCTGTCTCCCTGGCTGGGAAAAACTCCTTCCCTTTCCACTCTCACTCAGAAAAGCTTCCCGCTGCCCTGTCATACCATCTCTGTCTCTTAGCCTCAGCCGTGTGTGTCTCCCTTACTCCCCTTCTCAGGTCCAGCTGCCATTCCTTCTATCTCCCCAGTGACCTGCCAGCTCCACTGCCTATTAGAGGAAACCCACACAACACACACACACACACACACACACAACCAACCAAGCACTATTATTTCCCTCTCTGTCTTTCAAATCATTGGTTCAAAGTGTTTTTTAAGTGTGAGGATTTGGGAGGGCATTCCCAAATCCCAGGCCTTGCCTGGCCCAGACCCAGGCCCATCCTTGTCTGGAGAATAGTAGGTGACTCCAAGAAAGCTTCTCAACCCCAATCAACTGAGGCCTGGGTGCTGAGGGAACATCCCCAAAGTGACATGCAGCCCCTCGGCTCAGGCCAGGACTGAGGCCAGGCTTGCTCTCAGATCCCTGAGCCTGAGGACTTCAGATTAGTAACTGCGCAGAGTGGGATGGGACAGGCAGGCGGGTTTGGGTGCCACCTCCAGGGAGGGCAACGTCCATCCTGAGAGTCCAGTCAACTCCTACTCCCCACCCTCTCTAGAGTGCCTGGCTCTGCCCTCAGGCACCCTTGAGCTTTCCAGGCTGGGCGGGGACACCTGGATTTCTCTGGCCCCCTGAGAAGGGCCAGCTTGGAAGAATTTCCCAAAGCCTATTAGAGCAACGGCTGCCTCCTGCCTGCCTCCTCAGGCTGGGCAGGGCTGAGGGCTGAGGCGGGTGGAGGGAGCAAGGGAGGGCAGGAGGGGGAGAGGAGGAAGGAGAAAAGTTGGCAGGCAGACAGCAGAGCCCTGTCTGCATCCATCGCAGAGAGGAGGCCCGTGTGGTGTGGGGCGGGACAGGAGCAAGGAGAGGCCCTTCCTCCCTTTGTGCTCCCCCCGCCACCCAGCCCTATAAATAGGCCCAGCCCAGGCTGTGGCTCAGCTCTTGGAGGGAGTCGAGCACCAGGCATCCAGCAGTTAAGTCGTACCCCTGCCAGCATGGCCAGTGAATTCAAGAAGAAGATCTTCTGGAGGGCTGTGGTGGCCGAGTTCCTGGCCATGACCCTCTTCGTCTTCATCAGCATCGGCTCTGCCCTAGGCTTCAATTACCCACTGGAGAGGAACCAGACACTGGTCCAGGACAACGTGAAGGTGTCTCTGGCTTTTGGTCTGAGCATTGCCACTCTGGCCCAAAGTGTGGGTCACATCAGTGGTGCTCACCTCAACCCAGCTGTCACACTGGGGCTCCTGCTCAGTTGTCAGATCAGCATCCTCCGGGCTGTCATGTACATGATTGCCCAGTGTGTGGGGGCCATCGTCGCCACTGCCATCCTCTCGGGCATCACCTCCTCCCTACCTGAGAACTCCCTTGGCCGCAATGAGGTGAGTGGGGTGTTTCAGGCTTGGGAGAGCTAGGTAGGAGGACACAGAGAGGGCATTGGCTCCATTTGCCTTGTGCACAATGGGGACACTGAGGAACAGAGAGGATGATGAGGGTCGCTGGGGTCATGCCGAGTGCTGGGGCTGGAACCCAGTATGCTGCAGGGTTTGTTTGCTGCCAGGTGCTGTGGGCATGGGTGAGCTAGTCACTAACGGTTGTGCCAAAGTCCCCTGCAGAGTATCTACTGCCAGGAATGAACTGAGGGGGCAGCTAGCTGTGTGCCAGCATTTCTCCACCCCTCCACTAAAGTTTCTTGGCCCTCCTCTGTTCTACCTGAGAAGCCACTTACCTCCTTGGCAGTCCTGTGCCCTAGGCAACCTCTACCTACTGTCCCAAGTCCACTTTCTCCAGATACATATCATGTTTAAACCCACTTTTGCAAGTATCTGAGCATGAGCCCCTTATGAAGTTGCCTGGGCTTCTAGGTCCACACTCAGTTCCCCAAGTCAGCTTTCCCAGAAGGTCAGGAGACAGCTCTCTTTCATTCCTCTGTCCCCAATAATCAGACAAACTTGAGGAGTTGTCGGGAGAGTTTTCTAGATAACAGTTCAGGAGAAGGGCTCAGCTCTTCAGTCCTTGGCCACTGAATGGTGTGCCATGCCCGCTTGTTGTGTGTGGAGGTGGGAGTGGAGCTGTGCACGTGTATACACGGGTCCTGAACTTGTGTAAGCTACTTTCAAGTTGATGGTGCATTTGCGAGTGTGTAACCACTTGTGCCCATCGTTCCTGACTTGGATGATAAGCAGATGCTGACAACTGCGTGGCAGCTGTTCAAAATAACTGCTAAGTGGCTGGCCCTGATGGTGGCTGCCTGGCCACAGACCTTTCCCATCTTCTTAGCTCAGTGCCTATGCCGAGTGCACTTGGGTTTAATGGGGACCAGTTTAGTAGGAGTGTCTGAGTAAGGGTGGCGGATGTCTCAGGCGGGAATAGGCTGGAATCCCTCACCAGAGACAGAGACTAAAGGCAGAGTAGAGGAACCAGCCCCAGAGAAACGAAGCTGGCTGGACCTCGGCAGGGCAGGTGCATGGGGACAGGGGCAAGGAAGTGGTCTGGGGGCTCCTGTCAGTTGGATGGTTATGGATGAGTAGACTCCTCTCATTTCCCAGCCGAAGTTCAAGTGCAGGAGATGCAGACAGGGAGGGAGGTGAAAGTCTGGTGCAGAGGGCAGCTGATGTGGCCCCGCTGCAGGGATGAGCACGTCTGTGTCACAGTGACACCTCAGGATCATGCTTTTAAGTCAACCTCTGCTCAACTGGAGATTGAAGATTAGCCCTGTGGCTGGAGTTTAGACTTTAGTTGGAGAAAACTTGGCTACAGTAGGCGCAGGGAGCAGAATTAGATAGACTGTGTCCCTCTAGACTCCAGTCTCTCCAATAGGAGCAGGACTAGGTGCCTTGCTGAATTCCTCTGAGAAGGCTCAAGTTCCCACTGAGCTGGGGGCTGGGGGGACAGAGGCAATGAAGGGCCCCTGTGGGAAACAGGTGGTGGAGACTCCTAACTCTTGTCCCTTCCAAGTCAAGTGACAGGCAAGACCTCTGCCCTTGCTGGCAAAGGCTTTGCATTCTCTAATATGTCATCCAAGGCAGAGGCAGAATGTGATTGCTTCAGAGGCACCTGAATCTGGCTACACCCCACTTCAGTTTCTGCAGCCCCCTCCATTTTCCAGAGTTACCCCAGTATTTGTGTCAGGCAGGATACAACTGAAGGAGAAGGAGGGCCAGGCTTGTGTGGGGACAGCTTGGGGACAGGCACCCTAGCCCGAAGTCCTGTTTGCTGTTAACCACTGAGTCTTCTTGGAGCCGAGTATCCTGAGGTTTGAGATGGGGGCTAGGTTCTGGTGACATTTCTGCAACCCACATACTACCAACTTATATTGTTGGCTGGAGCTAATTACCTACCTGAGAAGGGCGTGGCTAAGAGGACCTCCCCAGTGGCAGTGAAATATGAGGGGACCAATATGTGGTGGGACTCTTACTAGCCACCCAAACCATGGACTTTTGGCATACAGTCTGTCCCCCAGCCAAATAGCTCTTCTCAGGCACTAGCTCCTGGACCTGGCGGGACTGAGGGTGGTCTCAATGCCTTAGAGGGACAAGCAGACAATGGAACAGGTGGCAATCCCTTCCTCTGCATTCCAGGGGAAGGCTCTCACTGCTCCTCTGCTCTTACTCCCACCCCGCTGCCAAAACCTGGGTGGGGTGAGTTGTTGGCATGGAGATTTTCAAAGAAAATAGAGAGAAAAGTGGCAGGAAGTGGTTGGGTGAGTCAGGGGGTGTCCCCAGGGGACATGGTGGGGACAACTCTCTCCTGACTAAGTCAGGAAACGCCCAAGAGAGAGACCACGGACCTCCTATAATCCCATTGGTGCCTTCTGGGTTAAAGACCTGAAGCCTAATTTTCACTCTTGGTTGGAGGCTCTGAGGTTCCCTGCCCAGGGTCAGCCACCTGCACCTTGTGTTGCTCCATGCAATTGATGAGACTGAGATGTCCCTGATTCCCACCTATGAACCATGAACAGGATATAAAAGGGTGTGGCTATCTTTGGAAAGTAGAGGATGCTGGGGCCTTAGAGTCCTGGCATTCTGGCTGTTTTCATTCTTACCCCTCTCTGGCCCTCGTCCTGCAGAAATGACTGGGGCTGTTGGGTGCTGAGGGTAAAGTTGGGTCAGCCAGGCTCCCCACACTGGGCAGCTCATGGGCTTGGAGCCAGATAAGCAGCACAGCTGCCCGAGATACTGCGCAGGAGGCAGGTGAGATAAGAAGTGTCAGGGCGGGCCAGGGAACTTTTGAACTGGAAGGATGGGAGGGCCAGGAGAACTGTAGGGAGGTGATCTTGTAAGAACCCACGTGCGGACTGAGAAGGGGCTGCTGGGCAGAGCTCAAGCAAAGGGCAAGGGAGGCCATGATCTAGAGGTGGTCACTGAGTTTGGGCAGGCTGGGATCATGATGGGAGGCTGGACCCCAGAAGCGGTAGGAGCTGGTATCTAAGTACGTCTGGAGAGGACTGTGTTCCCCAAGCCTCTCCGTCTCGCCACCTGGGGATACAGGCAGAGGGCACAACTAGTCTCTTCAGGGCCATTCTTAGTCCTATTCATTTGGGTCCAAGGACCCAAAGGCTTGGAAACGCTTCCACCTGCTCTGCCAGATGGTATAGCTCTTGGTTTTAAGTTCTCACTCTTCTAGTTTCTTAGGGGTTAGCTTCCTCAGAAAATGAGGAGAGAGGGCCTTTCCTACCAATAGGCCTCCCCAGGTTGAGCCCCCCCCCCCCACTGCCTCCCCCGGGACTTAGGAGTGAACTATGCTAAGTAGATGTGAGTTTCCAATGCCTTGGGCCAGTCCAGCGTGGCCAGGGACAGAGCTGGAGACGGGGTGTATAGCAAAGCTGGGACCTGTAATTACTGTTTCCAGCCAGAACCTAGGAGCGAGGGGGCAAGGGAAGAGTGTGGAGAGGTGGAGCCTTTGTGGCAGGGTAGACATTCCTTCTCGCAAAAATGCCGAGGCCGGGTCCTCCAACAGCATCTGCTGAGCAGCGCAGCTAGTGTGGACCACTTGTCCCAAATCAGGGTCTGCCTGGAACACGTATCTGAAAGAGTGTACTCCATGAAGGTCTATGCAGGTGGAGTCTGAGAAAAACTGCTCCCACCCCAGGTCACCCCACCCCACCACACCTCAGCCCTTCTGCCCCGGTGCTCCCCTCTCTAGCCTGAGCAGCTCCTAGCAGTTCATCTGGAAGCCCCTTCACAGTTTATTCTCTCTCTCTAGGGCGCCACTCAGGGTGTCCTCACCTGCAACCCATCAAGCCTTTCCAGGCAGATCGCAATACCCCCCCCCACCCCACCCTGCTGTGTGTCTGGGAAGCCATTCATGGTGGCAGAACAACCTTAAATTCTTGATCACAGTGGTTCCCTAGGAACTCAGGTCCTGGTCACTCCTGTTCCCACCATTTAGAAGCAGCTTAGAACTCGGAATGGTTGAAACTTGAGCCTCTTACTTGCAGATCTGAGCGGGAACATGTCCTTGAGGTTCCATGGTGACCAGGGACTCCTCTGTCTGGACCTTTTCCTGGAGACTAGAGAGGTCTCTCTGCCACAGTAGGATGGTACCTGGCAGAATGAGCAGGAAGTTATCCATACTCATGTTCCTCAGCATCCTTGAGACTGAGACTAAAGCCCACAGACCAAAGACAATGGGCAGGCATGATTAGCCCTTCAGGGATCTGAAAGCTCAGTCAAGCCTTTCCAGAGGGGAGATTCTGCTCTGTATAAAGAAGATTTTGTTGTTTGTTTGGTTTAAACTCAGGAAGCAGTTTCCTCTAAACAGATGAGCTCCTGTCTCTAGAAATATGTAGGTTGGACCCATCTGACAAGGCAGCTACTCCAGCAGAGCCTGGCTGTGTGGAGGTACAGTGGAGATGGGCAAGAGTGTTTGTGACACAGGCCTTGTGCCACACCGAGAATGGAGACTTGTACTTAGGTCTCTAGACGCTGGCTAGAGAGACACTACCTGATTTCAGGCAAGAAGAAATCTGAAGACCACCTGGGGCTGGAGTCTAGGCCAATGTCCCCATTCTACAGTTGGGAAAACTGAGACCCAACGAAGGTGTGGATCCTTGTCAAGGTCATACGGTGGGTAATGTCAGGGTAGGACCGTGTTTTAAATCTGCCTCCCCACCCTCCAAAGTGCACATATACTGCACAATCATGTACACAGCCATGCACATACATGACATGGGGCACAGAGCATGGGCTCGACACTGCCTGGATCTGGGGGCCCAGGCAGGGAAGGCTCCTCTCAGGAGCCCCTTCCTCTCCCTGGCCTGTGGTAAGGAAAAGGAAAAGAGGAAGTTGGAAACCATTGCTTTGTGTATTGTTTCTTGTCAGAAAGACAAAATGGTTCTGGGCGCAAATAAAAGGCCTTTGAGGCCAGCTGCTTTCTTACTCGAGGGGTCGCTCCCTCGGCCACTTCCCCCCCTTCTCCAGCTCGTAGTGGCACCACCCCTGTGGGTGTGAAGCCCGAGGAGGGACACAGTGACGCACTCAGAAACGCCAGCAGACACACCAGTGCAAACACACAGCAAACATCTGGGACTTCGTGCCGTGCAGAGCTCCCTGCTCCGCAGAGCATGCCCAACGTGGTGTCTTGAGTCACAGCGAATGTCAGGCTCCGCTTAGGAGTACTTGGCCAGGACCCTATTGGCTTGTTTAAATTTCCCTCAGAAACTTCAAAAGACTGACAAGCCTCTAATCCCAAGGCGAGGGTTTTCCCTCCTTTTCTTTAATCAAGTACAGCTAGTTAAGTGTCTGGATTCTCGCCTGTGTATGTTATTAGGCTTTCGGACCGCCTCATTCTATCATTTCCTAAGGGGAGGGTTGCTGAAAAACATTCACTTTGGGACTAGCTTGATCCAATTCTTGTAACTTTCCATTTTTAAATAATTTACTTTTTAGTCTAAGCAATTTCTTCTTTCTGCCTATAGGTCTAAAAATTTTTATAGTTCTTAGAGCATTTAATTATTCTGTAACAAACCTGTTAAGGTCTAATAAAAGAGAAGGAACGAAAAGCACAAATGCCACTTGCAGACACAGCTGACGGTGGTCCACAAACCCATGCAGCTGTACCCTGAGACAGGCACACATGTAAGTTCTGGCTGTAGGGTGACAAGGTGGGGCCCACTGTTCCCTGGCGGACCAGTGCCAAGTACTGGAAACAGTGGGGGTGGGCAGACAGCCCTGTCTCTTAAGTCGTTCCTTGAGAGCAGAGCCTCAGCCAGGCCCAGCTCTGGACTCTGCAGCTCCCCAAGGGTGGGGCACAGGGGCAATCAGGGCCCTGTGCCTAGGACTTAGTGAGTTTTCCCGGTAGGCTGCCTACAAGTGGCAGGGAGGGTTCAGGTAGCATGTCATGGAAAGGGCGATCCTGGCCTGGGACACACACACCTCCTGCCAGCAACCCATTCCAAGTTGGGAACAGCCCGGTCCCTTGGTAGCCAGCGGCCTGGTGCCCTGGTAACCAGCACATTAGCCTGTGAGCCTGGGGAGAGGGTCCTGGCCTTACTGCCTCCTCCTTGAGCATAGGTGCTCCTGTCCTTCCATATGTGAGTCTCAAAGGTCACTGGTCGGCCGATCCTCTCCCAGCTAAACAGCAAAAGCATGGGCCCTTCTCTCTAAGAGCTTTGTTGAAATCAGCTGCCACACAGAGGTTGGAAGTTCTGGAAAATGTGCACTTTCAACCCATTTTGTACTGCACAACGAGCTTCCCCGTGGAGGTTTGCAGAGACCCACTCAGGCTCCCAGGTTAGGAGGGACAAACACCCAGCTGGGTGGCAGGTGGATTCCTCTTCTCCGTGATGCTCAGCTACTCAGGTGATTCCATGAGGGTGTGGCAGATGGGAGCAGAACGAAGCCAACTCCCATAGAAGGCTCAGAGTTGGTGTGTCTGAACGGTGGCTTAAGCCGTGAGCTTGCCTGGGTCCAATAGGGAGCTTTCAGATGCTTCCCAAGAGCTGCGTGGCCTGGTCCGCCACTCAGAAAACTCAGTGCTGCAGTTGCAATGTTAACCAGTGAAAATCCAGGCAAAACTCTGCACGCATGTGCTGACCTGGATCCTTGCCAGTGACAAACGGCAGCAACCGGGGTTGGCACTATTAAAGCGGTTGTTTGAAAGATAATGGACTGTATGTGATCGCTACGGTTTGACGTTTCTAACCTTCTCTTTCCTGGACGTGGAGTTTCTGCAGACCTTTATCGTTTCTGACCCTCTTACGTTTTCTCAGATGTAAGTTGAAGTGCATTAGGCAGTGGAGAACAGTTGTGATTAGCAGCTGAGACGGGAGGTGGGTGGGGGAGCTGGTGACTGCTGGGAATGGTGGTAGATGTGGGCTTTGGAAGGGAAAGGCTGCCAGTATTATTGTGGCTTTTGGCAGACAAGAGTAGGTACCTTCTGGAGTTCCCAGGCCTCCTGAAGACTCAGACCTCTGGGCCTGGAGCCGCCCGCTCTGCTTTGTGTAGACAGTGGTACCTGGGGTATGGCCTGGGATCGGCCGTGGTTAAGAAGCAGGAGAAAAGATGGACTGGCTCTGGCTACATCTGTGAGAAGGGCAGGGTGGTGGTTGGATCTGAGCAGGAGACTTAGGGACAGCTCCATTAATTGGTGAGGAAGTGCTCATCTCAGGACTTCTGCCAGCTAGCAATTAGGCCATCCCCAGAGAGAAGAGATGGAGAGAGAGAAGCCATGAATTTAAATGAGGGTCACAGCCTTCCAGACTGTGAAGTGGAATTAGCCATCCTGGGCTTCTAGTCCTTCCTCCATCAAGCCTTCCCAGCCTTAGGTATGCTCTGCCAGACAGCCGAGCTATCCCTCACCCATCTCTACCTCCCGATAGTTCTTGCTTCTGCCACCTTCACCAAATGCCTGAGACAGACCCGGGACCCTTGAGTCTTCTGGAGGCTCTAGAGTCTAGACAGAGCTGAGACCTTGAACCCATTTTGCAGATGGAGAAGCTAAGGCCCAGAGAGAACCAGGTTTGTGGTGCCAACAAGCAGAAGAGTAAGAACCTGAGCACTGGGTTCTGCCTCGATTGCCTGACTTAACAGTGAGGTGATAAACAGGCATTGCCCCAGAAGGCTCACAGGGCTTTGGGGGGGGCACACATAGCTTTGGGGTTGGTCAGGAAAGGCCCAAAGCTGGGGCTTCAAGGCAGCCCAGGGGATGTGAGTCATTCTCTGGGAGCCAGCACTGCAGACAAAGGCGGGAAGAGAATTGTTCTTGTGAGAGGGCCTCAGGGCCGAACTGGGAAAACCCCTCAAGAAGTGGAGGTGTGCCTCCCACCTATACCCCATAGAATGCCTGGTGGCCTTGGAGATACCACCACTCAGTTGGGAAACTGGAAGTGAGCCTTTCGTGTGAGCTTGCTGGGGCCCAGCCATGCCTCCTGGGAGGCAGACTGAAGGCAGAACATGCCGGTGTGTTCACCAACGTGGCCCAGCTCCCCTGTGGGTCTTCTCACTGCAGCTGCAGAGATGGTAGGGCTCCAGTGACTTCGTGGCCGTTCTCGTTCCCTTCTTTTTCCATGAGTCATGTTTCCAAAAGTGGTGTAGGCACAGGGGCAGCCAGACTACGGTGGTGGGGCCCGTGGAGCCAAAGAGAGGGGAAGGCAGGGCGGGGACCAGGAGAGAAAAGAGGGAAGAGAGGAGATGCAGGGGGGCAAAGGGAGTGGAGATAGGAAAGGCTTTGGACTTGAAAGGGTGAAACGACATCCACTTGGCTCCTCCTGTCTATGCTTCTCTTCTCCTGTGGATGTCCCTGACCACCTCTTGTGTCTGAGAAGCACCTCTCACCTATATGAGCACTCCATGTAGCCAACAAGGAGGCCCTGCTTCACCCTGGGCCTCCGAGCAGAGGGATGCAGGGTCTAGACAGGACAAGGGATCAAGCTAGAGGATCAACAGGTGTCGAAGGGGATGAGGACTGATCTTCGTTAACTGCTGTGTATGTCTGGCCCCTCTGGGTACACACAGTGAGAAACTGAGTGAAAAGCTAGGAAGGGGTTGAAGGTTGTCTGTTGGTGCCCGGACCTAGTGCTCTGGGGTTCTCATTACAATCGCCCCCCTACCCCACTCACTGGGCCTTCTTGCTTCTCTCCTTTGCAGCTGGCTCGAGGTGTGAACTCTGGCCAGGGTCTGGGCATTGAGATCATTGGCACTCTGCAGCTGGTGCTGTGTGTGCTGGCCACCACTGACCGGAGGCGCCGTGACTTAGGTGGCTCAGCTCCTCTTGCCATTGGCTTCTCTGTGGCCCTGGGACACCTGCTGGCGGTGAGTAGGGGAATTCCTAAGTGAAAGCCACGGTAGGGATCAGGGTCAAAGCAGCTGGTGAGAAGGGCTAGTGTGGTATTTGTGGTACCCTGGATGGAACTTCCACCATGGGTAGGGGATGACAGAGCTGCTTTGGGTGCCAGGAAAAGGACCCAAGGACTTCTAATCATGCCCCTTACTCAACTGGGGTTGATTGTCCCCTTCTCTGCACTCTCTCCCTGGTCTCCTTGCCACTTTCTTTACATTCCTGTTCTTTATATGCCCCCTTCCAGATCGACTACACCGGCTGTGGTATCAACCCTGCCCGATCATTTGGCTCTGCTGTGCTCACCCGCAACTTCTCAAACCACTGGGTAAGTGACCCTGGGGCAGCCAGGCACATGGTGGAAGCAAACTCTACCCCCACCCTTGAGGCCTATCTTCCTTTCACAAAGATTTTGGGAGATACGTAGGGCAAAGGAAATCAAGAAATCAAATCCTGAGATGAAGAAGGGTGTTTGCATCCTGATAAGATTTCTGTTTAGGCTCCACTCTGGTAGCTCAAGCCTACAGCCCTGGCCAGTGCTCTTCCCCCATTGTCCTAACAATATGTTGGAGAGTGGGCTTGGAATCTTGGCTCTGCCACCTGTGCTTTTAGCAACCTCAGGAAGGCTTTGTGCCTTGGTTTCCCAGGCTATGAATGAAGTGGGCTTAGGAGAGTTGGCTCTCCCAGGCTTTTTAGGATCAGGAGAGGACCCATGTCTGCAAACAGAGCTCTGAGCAGAGGAGACATTGCGTAGGTTTTAGCTCTAATTACCGTTGGTCTGTGTGCTCCTGGCCACCCTTCTATTACACTAGCCCATCGCTGGGAACTTTCCAAGGCTGGGGGAAGGGAGTAGTAGCCATCTTAAGAAGTGAGGTGCTACAGAGATACCAACAGCTGGGTACAGAGGCCAGGATGTATCTCTACTACATACCCTGGTCTGGACCCACTCTGGGGAACCCAGGAATCAGAAAGTAAGAGTCTGGTCTATCTGCTTCTGACTCAAGACCGATTTGGCGAGATCCCCAAGGGGAGAAGGGATGATGAGGCCAGCTGTCCCCTAAACTCTCATGCTTCTTTCCTAGATTTTCTGGGTGGGGCCATTCATCGGGGGTGCCCTGGCAGTGCTGATCTATGACTTCATCCTGGCCCCTCGCAGCAGCGACCTCACAGACCGCATGAAGGTGTGGACCAGTGGCCAGGTGGAGGACTATGACCTGGATGCTGATGACATCAACTCTAGGGTGGAGATGAAGCCCAAATAGAGGAGGCTTGGCCTAGGCATCCATATGGGGGTGGGGCAGGGATGGGTGGAGGGAGGGGAGGGCTTAAATCCTATTGTAGACACTCTGACAGGCTGACCAAAGTCACTCCCCGAGACCTGCCTGACCTGAGTGGTCCTGCCTCGTCTGGGGCAGCAATATCAATGTCTTTCTTTCTATTTCCTGGTCTCAGAGCTTCCTGGGGACCAAGATTTATCAACTCAGCACCTCATTCCATTGACACCATGGAGGAGTGAAAGGGAGGGACCCGCTTGCTAGGTGTCCCCTCAGAGTGTGCTAGAAAGTCCCCCTCATCCCAAAGTTGCCCAGCAAGTCACCCACCTTAGGTGCCTGGAATCCTGCCATTGTTGCTTTGTGCCTTTGACCTTGGCCTTCTTTGAGTAGGCATCTTGTCCCCAAACTTGGAGGGAGAGGAGGTCCCCTAAAACTTTTACCTTTGGTCTATCTTACCTTTAGGGCCCTTCCTCTTAGACTCACTATAGGACCTTGAAATTGTCCCTGTGTGCTGGGGCTTCAGTGACCACATCTGTCAAGTGGCAAGGAAGGAACCGCTATGGGGACCCATAAGAGGGGACATACCACAGGTTCTAGAAGGAACAGTCTAGACAGCATGCTCTGTCTACCTGGCCTGAGCTCTTTCCCAACATCCACAGCTCATGAGCACATGTGGATGAGCTATGAAGCAGAGATGTGGTTTGGGGTGCTGGAAATGCCTGTCACCCAAAGAGGCCTTCTTTAGGTCGGTCTGCGGTAGCAGAATGAAGGACATTTTGTGGTGGAGGAAGAGCTCCCGCTCAATTATCGAGCTCTAGTTGGTCTGCCCATCTAGTATGGCCCTAACCGGATAGTTTTTTTCAGTCCTCCAGGCCCCCATGCAGTGTAGATTCAGGGGATGTGTTTATTAAAGAGCGTTGAGCTAAGTATCACCGTCTAAGGACGGAAGCAGCTGGACATGGAGAAATCCTGGGACAGACACCCACACTGGGCATGCAGGGCCTTGGGTGCCCTAGCTCACACCATAATCAAGGAGGTCACTCCCGCCCTGGTTGATGAGCTCCTGGCTGTCTGTGTTCTGGACAACCTCAACAGGCTCACTATGGGACCCTAGGCACAGTCTTCTTTCTTTATGGACCTGATGAGGCATCTTCTGCTGCAGCCCAAGGACAGGTCAGAGCACAGGCAGCCCAGGGGCTGACATCCTAAATTCAGCTCTTTAGGCTAGTCCATCCAATCCCATCAGGCCAGAGTGGCTCCACCACTGTGCCCTTAACCTTGTTGTGAACATAAACAGATAGGCACATTCTTCAGGTGCTTAGGAACAGCAGGACAGTCAGAAGGCCTATGGTTACAGCCTCATCTCCACTCCCTAGCAGGCACCATAGCCCACTTAACAGATAAAGACACTGAGAACCCATGTGCCCAACTAGATCATATTGGGTCAATCTTAACAGCCAAGGTCATGTTTGGCCGCTCCCTGGTCAACGACGTGGACTCCTCTCACCTCCAGCTTCTCAGTTTCTGCCTGGGTAATGGCTAAGGGTCATGGGTGGTGATGAGAGACTATGTTAGAGGGGGCGGGGTGGACCCATCCCACCTGGTTCTGGCTACAATGATCAAGGACCCCACATCTGTCTGCTCTGTGTATGTTTCTTTGCAATTGAAATTTTATCTTATGGTAAGAAAATAAAGGACAATGACTTGTAAGGTCATCCAGCCTTCCTGTGTTTTTTTTTTTTTTTTTTTTTTTTTTTTTTGCTTTGTTGTTATTGCATCCCCCCCAAAAGATGCAATCCCCATCCTGGTCTGTGAGGGGATTTGTCTCACTGTTATGCCACCCAGTCTGGGAAGATGACAGACGCCCTTGTGTCCTAAGAGAATGCGTAGAGCTACAGGACAGGCCCGAGGGGTCACAGGGTCTTGCCCTTAGCAGGAAGACTACTGAGAATGTGGCGATCTTGGGACAACTACGGAGAAGTGAAGGACAAATTGGAGCCACTTTAAACGGAGTTACAGGAGACATTCTGGGTTCTGGAGGATGGAAGGGTTAGGGAAAGTAGGGTTGAGGTTGTATTCTCGTTACCCCTCTGATCTCAAGACAGAGTCTGCAGGACCAGACTCTGCCACGCCTCTACCACCCCTCAGCTCATCCTGGAAGCCCCACTTATAATTGTGTCTTAGAAGCCCCAGGGGAGTTTTTGGGGTTGACTCATCAGAGAAAATGACCCCTGTGCTATGCTATACTGAGATCTGAATGCAAGTTCCTGACACTGACCCCACCTGTGACACATAAAACACTTCAGGGGAACTAGGAGCCTAGCCACTGGGACCAGGCAACGGGCAAGTCGGCTCCTTCCACAAGCTTGCTGTGGGAGGAAAGAACCCTCATCTTTAAGGAATGGTTTCCAGACCACAAGCACACCTATCACTAGGAGTGTAGGCTGAGAAGGGCTCAGTATTCCATCATGTTTCCTAAAGACACAGTGATGACATAAGAGGTCACACTGAGAGGGCTTAGTGTCATTGGAATGGTGTCTCTTACTGCAGTCTGTGTGCAGCCTGGGGCTGCCTCAACCCATCCAAACTTCCCTGGCTTCTTTCTGGTGAGGTTATGTGCTGCCCTTATGAGGGAGTGATTTCTAGGCCACAGGGACATTGTAGAGGCTAGCCCAAAACCTCACAGCCTCACCTGTGAGGGGATTCCAAAGTGTTACCTCACAGTCCCTCCTAGCCTGCCTTCTTGTTCCATCTCCTAGATCACAGGTCCCCTCAGTCTCCAACCACTGCGGCCCCCAGCTACTCCAGTGCCCAGCCTCTACTCGATTCCACAGTACAGCCTTTCTTGTATGGCTTCTAGAAGTTGTAATTTCTAGAGTCCTAGAGCGTAGATAGGTCCTGGAGAAGAGGCCAAACTGGGTCTTCTGGAGTACCTACAGAGTAGAGTTTTAGGAACCTTGCTGTGACTTACTATTTAGAAGACAGAGCTATCTGCGTTTGCAGAGATTGCTCAGGCTCCTGAAATCTTTCTCTCAGGGCTACACAACAGGATGGTGGTGGGATTGAGATTTGAACCTGCTCTGCCTGGCTTCAACAATTGGCTGTCTCCATCACGTGATGCTGACCTATCTATTTTGTTGTGATGCTTAGCAGAGTTAGGCTCTGGGCTCGCAGAGAACCAGGCTGAGCTGCAATTGCATCAACTCCTACAAGGTAATGGGGAGGCAGAAGGGAGAAGGGCTGGCCTTGGGGCCCCTGATGCTCTGAGAAGCCTGCTCCTTCTAAACAGACTCATGTGGTGATGGCTAAAGGCAGCACCAGGCTGATGCTACATCCATGAAACTGTACTTATTCCTGGCTGAAAGGGGATAAAATAGCATATATGAACAGGGGAGGCCAATGTTGCACCATGAGGGATGATAATGCACCAAGCCAGGTATTCGATACCCAATAGGCTTGGCTATAATAGTTTTGGGGCCAGGCTGTCCCGGACTCTTCCTCTAGCCTATGGGATTAGTGCTCTAGGTATCCGTCTCCCTGGGGTCAACAAACATTGTTCCGCTCATGTTCTACTTAGCTCTGCGCAGAGAAGCGGTTTGGGGAAGCACTGGGATTGGACGGGACTTCTTGAGTAAGCAGAGGTCCTTGTCTGTTTTGTTCATCAGATTTTAACACAGGCAGCATATTTCCTGAAAGCCTCAGGACTCAACCTTTGTCCCTAGGCTCCTGAATAGTCAGGCGACTAGCACGTGAGGTGCCTTGGTGGGGGGCATCTGTCACCAGCCTCTAGATTGTGACCTTGTGGAGACTAGATTATAGGTCAGCCACCCCTATCAAAACTATCCAGTGTTAATCTGAGGTTGATTCAGCCAGCACGAAAGGTCATGCCTCTGCACCTGGCCTACAAGGAAGTAGGATGTGTTCTAGCAGTCACTGAATCCTAGAGTATTTGTCTTTCCATTAAACGCACAAGAGCAAAATGCTGAAATACTACAATTGTCACACCCCATTGAAGGTCTCTGATCAGGCCTGATACAGAGCAGAAGCTCTTCCAAACCAGGGAGCCGGGAGCTGTGTTCAGAGTCCTGCCAGCTTGAGGTTGAACTAGTGCTAAGAGAATCCTCTGTCATTTCTAAACATGTAGTCTGGAATCTTTACAGATCTGTGACCGTGTGTGTGTGTGTGTGTGTGTGTGTGTGTGTGTGTGTGTGTGTGTGAGAGAGAGAGAGAGAGAGAGGATGAGAAAGAGAGAGAGAGGTAAATGTGTGTGTGTGTGTGTGTGTGTGAGAGAGAGAGAGAGAGAGAGAGAGAGAGAGAGAGAGAGAGAGAGGGAGGGAGAGAGAGAGAGAGGGAGAGGGAGGGGGAGAGGGAGAGGTAAATGTGTGTGTGAAAGAGATGTGCATGTGTGTGTGTTGTGTTGTGTGTGAGAGAGAGAGGTGTAAATGTGTGTGTTTTTTCTCTCTCTGTGTGTGAGAAAAAAGTGTGAATGTGTGTGTGTTGTTCAGGTATGTGGGTGTAGGCATCCACAGCATTCTTGTGAAGGGCAGACGACCTTCAGATATCAGTATTTGCCTTTCTACCTTGTTTGAGGCAGGATCTCTTTGTGCCAGGCTAACTGTGACCCAGCTGGAGATGATTCTGCTCCTGCTTCCAACCTCCTCTAGGGGCATGCTGGGTATACAGACACTACTGCATTCATATCATAAAAGTTTTAAGTTGTTTTGTGTGTAGATTCTGAGGATCTGACCTCAAGTTATCATACTTCGTGTGGCAATGCTTTTATCCATACTCCACCATCTCCCCAGCTCCATGTTTCTTCTTTCAGTAGCTCAGATTCTCCACTAGAATCAGGGGGATTACGCTGTCTGGGTGCTGAAGAGGTCTGTAAAAGGATGGGCCTATGCAGGTACCCTTGGCTAGATCACCTGCTGGTTAATGTGATCTATTATACTGGCCTTGAACCCGGCACTGTTGCCTAAGAGCACAAAGCTCTGGTGGAAGGTGTGGTGGCTTAAGGCAGTCACTTGCCACTTGACCCTAAGGACCATAGTACCTTTGGGGAACTTGATAGATGTCTGGAGGGTTCCTTTACTTTGGGGTTTCCAGGCTGGTTCTCAGCATCCTTGGAACCAAAGTTGGAAGCCCAGCTGGAAAAGCACTGGCACCAGGCCCCCGCTCTCGGTGTGGCCAGGCCCCCGCCCTCCGTGTGGCCAAGCCATGTATATTAGGATTTTTCCATGGCTCCTGTAGAGCATACCTTCGCTGGTCAGAGGATTCTCAAGGAAGGGACAGTGATTAATGTTTTATAGACGAGCTGCTGGGCAGGATGCCTTGTTTTCTTTAGGTTTAGAATACAATGAAGACGATGATTGGAATTTGCTGCCCAGCAAAGGGGGCTGGGTGAGGCCATCCTTGGGAGGCCAAGGACCAAAGGTGCTGGTGTTTACCATTCTTAGTGCCAAAAGGGAAAGGAGGTGAAACCCTTGCTTTCAGGGCCATCTTTACCAGCCCCAGGGGACCATAAGTCCCCATCTGTGCTTTGGGACCAGTGTTCAGTGGGGCATTGACAGAAAGTCCAAGAAACTTGCCTGCCAGGCGATTCCCTTGCATGCTGATAAACCATTTTGGCTGTGTGTAGAGTTGGCGCCATTGTTCTTCCTGAAGTTCACTGATTGGTTACAGGGAGGGGGATTCCGCTGCTCTGCAGTTGTAGGGCAAATTGACGGCACTTGGTTTTGTTGATCTGGGGTGTTTGTTTATTTGTTTAGATAAAGTCTCCAGGTTGGTCTTGAAGTCTCTGTGTAGCTAAGGATGATTTTGAACTTCTTATCCTCCAGTTGCTACCTCCTAAGGTCGTTGTTACCAGGCCTGGTTTTTTTTTGGCAATGCTATGGGCAGAATCCAGGGCCTTAGGAATGTTAGGCAAGTATCCTACTAACTGAGCTACACTCCTAACCTTCATGTCTGTTTTTAAAATACTACAATTCATTCAGGTGGGAGAACACAGTAAAGGCTAAAGACCAGAGTATACGTGTACACGCACTTGTGCTGGTAAATGGGGACAACTTTCATTTGTCATACCATTTTAATTCATCCTTCTACGGACCGTTCCCTGTAGTCGACTGTCCTAAGGAAGGCCAGTTCAAGCCTTCAGAACTGCACAGATTCAGGTCTCGGGGGATTTGCAGCCTAGCCCAGGACAAGCAGAGGCCACAGAAATATCTTCTGTCAATAGCCACTCTTTCCATGGGTGCTGTTTGGTTTGCCTACCTCCATTCTGCTGTTTGAGTTTATGTAGCTCAGCTTGGGTCGCTGGGGGACTAGCACATGTTTTGAAAATAAGTGGCAAAGTAAGTGATAGACTTGTAATTTGTCTGCAGTTATGACATCATAGACAAGGGAAGAGAAGACTCTGTGAAGAAGTCTAATCCAAGGGGGGGGGCATAAAATCCCAAAGCATTGATTAAAGAGAGACACATCCTCTGAGGATTGGAGCCCACCATTGGTTGCACAGTCTTTGATGTTCTGGAAGGGTCCAATGTGTCCCGACACCTTACTAACATAAATCTCACTATTTTTTAAACTTATTGTTTGTAATGAAAATCAAATAGAAAACTAAAACCAAAGAAAGCAGTAAGATAATTCAGATTAAGTTTAAAATTGATGGGTGGCATCGAATCCTTTGAATTGTTAATCTCAAGTATCATTTTGGTGT